CCTGCAGGGTGTGGGGAGGTCTGCAGGGCTGGCTGCCCCCCTGTGCGAGCAGCGATGGGGGAGGCCCTGATGGCTGAGGTGCCGAGTACCTGACACGGGGAGGGATGGAGGGTGGTGCTGGTTTTTATTTTTAATCCTCACCTGAGGATGTACATGTTTTTATTGATTTTAGAGAGAGGGGGAAGGAGAGAGAGAGGAACGTTGATGAGAAAGAGAAACATCGATTGGTCGCCTCCTGTGCGCACCTGCCCAGGGATTGAACCCCCAACTGGAAGTGCGCCCTGGACCGGGACCCCTCAGCGCAGGGATGAGCTCCAGCCACCTGAGCCGCAGGCGCCGGGGCTGTGTCCTGAGCAGGTTTACACGGAGGGGAGGGGCTCAGCCCTGGGCTGCTGCTGCCTCCCGGCTGCGAGGACCCTGCTCAGCTCCTCCCTCCTCCTCTTGGCACGATGTCCCACCCCTTTCTTGGGTGAATTTTGGGGCCCCCTCGTCCCTGGAAACCTCGAGCCGCTCCATGGCGCCGCTCTAGGGGCAGAGCCACACACCTGGGGCCACGCCCCACACTGACTCGGTGTGCGAGATGCACCCGCCGTGGCGGCTGGCTGTGGCCGTGGCCCAAGCCGAGCGCATGACCGTGGCCGTGGCCGTGGGTAGCGCCTCTGGCTGCCTCTCGGGAGGGTAGGCTGTTTTCCGGGTCAGGATTGAGAGACCCCTGCGAGGCACCCAGGCACAGGGGCTGGCGGGAGGCGGCGGGGGCTGGAGAGACGCACTGAGCCCTGGCCCGGATGTGGTGGGAAGCCTGCGGCCGGCGGGCCCTTAGGGAGCAGGAGGGACAGGCCAGGAGGAAGTTCAGGCCGTAGCGCGGACGGCAGGTGGGGAGCGAAAACCCGGGAGGAAAACCAAGGGAACAGGAGCGCAGAGCCACGTGTTCGGAGGAGCAGGAGGAGGGGTGTGAGCTGAGTGAGACCAGGACTGAGACCTGCCACAGCCCGTGGTGGCGGACAGGCCACGTGTGGCGGAGGTGGTCTGAGCGGGAAGGCTAGAGGACTTGGGAGGGAGTGAGCTGGGCGGGCTGGAAGCAGCGCGTGGAGACAGCCCTGTTTCTGTGAAGGGGCAGCGGAGGGGGTGCTGGAGGGTGAGGGTGAGGGTGAGGGTTCCAAAGGTGGGAGACCCTGGTGCCATCTGAGCCAGGGGGAAGGTCCTGGAAGCGCCGGCTGACATGTTGCGAGGAGAGGGCACTGCAGAGGGCAGGTGGTCACAGGAGAGGGTCCAGGCCACATGGGGGAGGCCCGACAGTGCATTCCGGGGGGGACAGGGGAGATGCAGGAGCTGGGAGAAGACGGGGCTTTCTGAAGGATGGCTTGTTGCCCCGGCCGGGTGGCTCCGTTGGTCGGAGTGTTGTCCCTACACCACAAGGTTGTGGGGTCACTTCCCAGTCAGGGCACAGACCCAAGTTGCAGGTTCGAGCCCCAGGGCGTGAACCGAGGCAGCCGGTGGATGTTTCCCTCCCTCTCCTTCCCTCTCCTAACATCAGTAAAAACCTGTCCTGGGTGCGGATTGAAAAGAGAGAGAGACGGCTTGTTCCCAGGAAGCACAGGCCAGCAGCCCGGGCAGTTCAGGTTCGGAAACCAGAGAAGGTGGGCAGTGGTGCTTCCAGGCAGAAGCGAAAGGGCTGAGAGAAGGGGAGGGATCCCCAGGCAGTGCACACCCACGGGAGGTGCCCACGGGAGGTGCCCACGGGAGGTCTATGGTCAGGAATGCGTTGAGGCCTGTGCGTGGCTCTGCAGTTGTCTGTTGCTTAGATACCTGGACTTGATTGGCAGGCGCTGGTCTGACTAGGGGAGGGGGCTAGCAGGGTGATGCTGCCTCATCAAAGGTAAAGAGAAAAAGGCGGATGCCGAAGGGGACAGACCGAGAGCACATGCTGGGCCGCCAGCGGGTCGGGTCTCAGCGAGGCAGGGAGCAGTGTGGGTGTCTGATGGGGGCACTGTTGGAGTGCTCTTCGCCCGAGGTGCTGGGAAGGTGGGTGGGGCAGGGCCAGGTCTTAGGCAGGGGCTGCGGGGTGTGGGGAGGGGCAGGACACCGGTGGGCGTGGCCTGACGTCTGAATGGACAGCAGTGCTGTTTGCCAGGTAAAGAACACGAGAAAGCCTTCACTTCGGACCGAGGGGAAGGCCGTGAGTTTGATGGTGGACGCGGGTTTGAGGCCTCCGAGATGCAGGAGGGACAGTGGGCAGGTGGAGGTGCTCGTCCGGGGCCCAGGGGAGAGGTCGAGGCCGGAGGTGTGAGTGTGAGTCACTGTTGAGGCTGTGAATGAGATCTTCCAGGGTGAGAGGACGGCAAGAAGCAGGGGGCCCCCCCGAACACAGGCAGTGTTACCGGGAGGGGCAGTGCCCTGGCCGGTGTGGCTCAGTGGATAGAGTGTTGGCCTGTGGACTGAAGGGTCCTGCGTTCGATTCCTGGACAGGGCACATGACCAGGTTGTGGGCTCGATCCCCAGTGGGGGGCATGCAGGAGGCAGCCGATCGATGATTCTGTCTCATCATTGATGTTTCTCTCCCCCTCCCTCTCCCTTCCTCTTTCAAATCAATACAAACATATTAAAGAACAACAAAAAAAAAAAAATAAAGGAGGGCAGGGACTCCCCGCTGCTTCTCACCGCCTCTCTGAGCCAGGACTGCTTCAGGCCAGCTGCCTCCTGGGACTGCCTATGTCTCGGGTGATTCATTCATTCACTTATTTGAGATTCATTCATTCACTGGCTCACTCATTGGAGAACTATCACAGGCCAGTTCTGTGCCAAGTGCCTTCGGTGCCGGGGCTGCAGCTCTGAGCCTCACTGGTGCCCACAGCCCGGGGTCCCTGTGGCCCCTCCCTGGGGTCCCTGAACTTTGCCTGCTCTTCCTGCAGCTGCGCATGGAGTACCTCTCCCTGATGCACGCAGTGGTCCGCTCCACGCCCTACCTGCAGCACCGCCACCGGCTGCCTGACCTGCAGGCCACCCTGCGGCGCATCCTGAGCGAGGAGGACGCCTCGCCCCAGTGCCAGGTGGACCGCATGATTGTCCGGGAGATGTGCAAGGAGTTCCCGGCGCTGGGCGAGGCCCCCAGCTAGCGCCTTCCTCTCTGCCTTCCCTGCAGCCCTGGCCAGCGATCAGGGGACATGGGGCTTGGCCCAAGCAGGTATTGCACAGATGGACGACGGCGTTAGGGGGTGCGGTGGTCGCAGGGTCCTGAGCAGGGCCCGCCCCCTGACGTAGGGCTGATGCGAGGGGCCAAGGGCAAGACAGGGGACCACGCTCTGGGAACAATGCTGGGGCCAGGGGAATGTGTGTGAGCCGAAGCCCCTCCACATCCCGGCTGCCTCTTCAGCATGTCCCCCTCCCCCTCTCCGTACACACACACACACTCGCACACGCACACGCACACACACACTCACAGTCCCACTGCTGCTTCAGGCTGGGCCAGGGCCCCATCCCCAGCCTGTCTGGTCTGTGTCCTGGGCTTCAGCAAGCCGTGTCCTTGGGGTGAGGGGAGACTTCCGCTAGCTCAGCTCTGTTTCTTGCCTTAGCTTTGCATTAAGTGCCGCTCATGTGCTCCCCCTACCCTGCCCCCCAGGGGTCAGTGCCCTCCCTCACCCCCCCCAGGGGCCTGGGCCAAGATGCTGCTTTGAAAGCAGAACTAGGAGGCCAGTGACCCATCCTTGAACCTCACAGAACGGGGCGATGGCGCCGAGAACGCCAGTGACTGATTCTATTTTCTCTGTAAAAACGTAGACTGAAAAGCCATGTGTATCTCCTGTGTGCTGCGCTCACCTTTGGAAATAAATCGCCTCTGGAAACAGGCTTCCCTGTGTGATCCTGGGGTGGAGGATGGCGGGGCCCGGGGCTTGCGCTGCCCTCCCAGCCCACAGAGTGCAGGCCCCGACAGCCTTTCCTCCTGGGGCTCCTGCTCTGAGCCACATCCGGCCCGGGGTCTTTGCAGGTGCTGCCCCTCAGGCTTCGCTTAAAATCTTTCTTTGCCTCGCCGTCGCTGTCTTCCCTGCTGAAACCCTGCTCCAGCAGCCCCGGGCCCTGCGGGCTCCGTGTTCCTTACTCTGATCACGAGGCCGGCAAGAGCCCTCGTTCCTCAGCTTCGGCAGAGATGAGGGGATTACACGGTGGGACGGAGTACTGAGCAAATGCGGGGTTAGGTTTGCACTTCCCTGTGGGCTCCCACGTTTAAAAAACCGCTGTACGTGGACGAGGTTCCAGGAGCCCAGTGCCAGACTCCAACCAGTCGGTGGTTTTCATCAATTCATTTTTTTTTTTTACGCAAGATGATTTAAAAAAAAATTTATTTCCCAGAGGAAGGGAGAGGGAGAGAGAAACATCAATAATGAGAATCATTGATTGGCTGCCTCCTGCACACCCCCCAGTGGGAATCAAGCCCACAGCCCAGGCCTGTGTCCTTGACCAGAACTGAACTTGGGACCCGACAGTCCACAGGCCGATGCTCTGTCCACAGAGCCACGCCAGCCAGGGCTGCCCAAGATGGTTACACACATTCAGAATCATCCCTGATACTGTGACTTCCGGTCACGAGCTTTGTTTTCTCATCGGGATGCGAAAGGCAGAGGCCTCTCCCACCAAGACTAATGCAGCAGCGCAGCGGTCGAGGGACGGGTCCTGGGCAACAGGGGCCCTGGGAGGCGGGAGCGCTGGCCCCGGAGCCCCTGGGAGCAAAGCAGGGGAGGCTGATGGGCGTCCTTCCCTTCACCGCCCGCTCCCAGCAGGTTGGGCAGGGCCTCACCTGGACGACGGAGGAGGGGCTGACGCCGTGTTTGGCCAGGTAAAGGCTCAGCCTGGTCCCTCCTTCCTGGAGGCACGTGCCCCTTTGTCACCCGGAATCAATGCACTGGCTTCCAGCCCGCCCCCTTCTCCCGGGGGCTGGACTGTGCCCCCTGGACCAGTGCTGGCGCTTAGGGACGCTGGCCTGGTGGCCGGAGGACCAGAGGCCGCCGCCAGCTGCCCAAGGGGACTCCGCTCTGTTTGAAAGGGACGCAGACGCTCCACCCTCACGCCCTTAGGGACCCAGACCTGAATCCGGCGAAGCTCCGGCCGCAGGGGGTCCCCAGGTGCAGAGACTGGGGCCAAGCACCGCTGGAGCTCACCCGCCTCCGGACCCAGCCAGGTGAGGCGCTCGGGAGGTGGAACCCCGGGAACCCCGGGAACCCCGCCTCCTGGAAGCCAAGTCGAAAGGCCAACGAGCACGCCGTCTGATTGGCTGGTGGTGATGTCATAGTTACCGTTTGGGAGGGCGAGAGGCCTTAGGCAGGGGTTCTCCGCTGGGTCCAAGCAGGAGCCGCACCCCTGGGCGTCCTGGGCCCCAGAGCGACCGCCGCCGCGGTCCTGGGGCGCCCACGCCCTTTGACCGGGCGCTGCAGGCCGTGGTCGCTGCTACCCTTGCAGCCCACTTGGTGGAGCGGCTCCCGAGTGCTTTCCCGGCTCCGCTGGGGCCCTCGGAGCGCCCTGGCCCGGACAGTGCGTCCCGTCGCGGGCAGAGCCTCACGTTGTGCCCAAGAGACAGTGACTTTCTGATCGGGGCGCTGGGAGTCCACCACGCCCCGCTGTCCTGTGACGTCCATTCCGCTGCGCCTGCCCATTGGCCGGACGGTACCCGCTGGCGCCCGGAGTGGCCCGGCGGAGGAGAGCTGGGTTGCACGGCGGGAGAGGATTGAGCTCCCGTTAGTCCCGTCAGCGGTTAAAGCGGTCTCAGCGGAGGAGCAGCCTCGATCCGAGGAGCCAGGCCCGCAGCCACGGGGCCACGCCGGGCTCCACGGGGATCCCGGAGCACTGGGGTCCGTGCCCTGGAGAGAAAGGTGCAGCCTCCGGTGGGGGATCCCCCAGCGCCGGAGACTGCGGGGGGCTGTCAAGGCCAGGAAGGGGTGGCCTCTGCTCCCGCCCCGGGCAGGGCAGGTCACCTCCGTTCCTGCTCCACACAAGGACGTGGACGTTTCATGATTTAAAACTCGCTGATGGAAGAGTTAAAGCTATTGTTCGGGCTGCTGGTGCCCAACTGCTCCCCCCCATCCGCCCCCCGCCCCGCCCTAGGGTCCTGAGGACGCTCACGGCGCCCCACATTCTCACCGAAATCCGGAACGAGCTTCGGAACTGGGGCTCAGGAAGGGGCACCAGAGGCCCGTCGGCGGAAGAAGGGAGGGGATAAGGTTAAATTTGAAAAAAAAAGGGGGGGGAAAGGGTGGGAGACGGAGCTGGGACCTCGCCCTGACAGGAGGGAGGCGGGCGAGGGCGGAGCCCGAGAGAGAAGAGGCTGCATCCGCGGCGGCCGCCCTCCGCGCCCGTTCAGCACCGCGGGCAGC